TTGGCTGAAAGGACATTGGGACTGAAAAGAAAGACTGAGTCAGACTGTTAACTTCAGCTAAACTTTAGAAGTCATCTATGCAAGATTTACCAAAGATTGTACCTTCCCCCCCATCACTTACATTGAAATTGCTTTGTATATATGGGTATGTCACTATTGTTTTAAAACGGACTGTGAAAGAATGTGAGCCTATCCTTTAAATTGAAGATGTTTTTGTGTTTACATTCAGTACAAGCACTTAATGATTTTAAGATTATTTCTTTTTGCAGGATATTAACCTGACTGTCGACAGCACATCAAAAGACTGCCAGTTAGTTGTTTGCAACTCAGCCTGGGACCATTTCTCATGTTGGGACGCGGGAGCCGCCAGAAAGCCATTAGAGGGAAACATTAGTGGGGATCTGTGACATTAGTCTAGTGAAGCAGATTGTGTTGACGCTCATCATAACATCATATTTCATGCGACTGAGTTTGGGACACATGTTTAGAAGTTACTCTGACATCCCAGAGCAGGGTCATGGAACAATTTGTGAAGAGGTAACAGGATCTTACACGGTCACAGTTGTTGTGCTGCTACAGTGCGAGTGCAGCTGTTCAAAAGCCTATTAAAACACCCAAAGCTTGCTTCGGCTGCTGAATGTGACCAACCAGGTAAAGCTCTTCTAGATCATCTAGCTGGATGGTGGATGGAGGCAGGGGGGTTGGGGGGGGGTGTGACGACCTTTTGCATTCATTATACTCAAAACGCCTCCCAGTTGTTTCCATGGTAACAGGAAGCACTCTGAACTGGCAGCATATTCGTGTGGAACCCAGCAGTTTGCTTTTCAGCCGCAATTGATTTTTCCAATTGAGCATGCAGATCTCTGCTTGTGTTTGTTTGCTCCCAAGAAGTTTACGGATGTGAGTGCAGGGTAACCAGACACGGGACAGGGAGACAGCAAAAGGACAGAGAGATAACGAGTGAGGGATAAATGTTTTATGGCTTTAAGGTTAGTGTTAGGTCAGTGCTCTGAAAAAAAACATCCCTCGTCCACCGATGTCTCTATTTAATCTCGCAAGAATGCATTCAAGGCCATGACTGTAGAGTGGGAGGAAGAGTTCAAGACTACGTTTCCATTTAACCCGGATTGTGTAATTGTGATAGTCGTTATCTGGAGAGGTTGGAAGGAGATATATACGTTTCTAAAACGTTATATTTCTACATAAAAACCTGTGGTGCTAATATTAGCATGATTAACTAGCGTATACTTAATGTATACACATGCTGCTTTTGCTTTTTAATGATTGTAAACGTGTATAGACCTACCCGGGTTCACAGGAACCGTGTTGTTTCTGTATTTCATTCATTTCTTCTGTCTCGATCACCAGCTGATGTGGTGCTTCACTTTTACATCTTGATCTGAAGGCTTTAGCTTTTATCTATATTTTTTTTAACTGTTTTCACAGCTGAATGGGTTTGACATCCTGAATATATATCCTTCAAACGCATAAAACCTTCTGTCTGCCTCACATGTAATGTATGCCTCAAATGTATTATAATTATGCAGGGGTGCAGTTAGTGACAGTGTGGGCTCCATGGTAGCTCTGACAGTTTGACGGAGTAGCAGCGGGGCGCGGGGCTCAGCAAAGGTCAATTCCCGAAAAGTCTCATTCAGTCGAAATCCACAAAACATTTCATGAATTCCTGCACACGTACACACGCTGCCGGTTGAGTCAGTACCATTCCATCACCGTCGAGAGTAGGCAAGGGGCGGGTATGTCGCTCTAAATCTGTTCCAACAAAACATCCACGATGAGAGAGCTCAAGCTCAAGTAATATCCCTCACATCTATCATCTGCTTTGTAGACAAACTACTTTGGAATACATAATGCAAGCTTGTATACCAACTCATACATCATAAACACTCTCGTACCCTTGCCAGACAGCTGCAGACATAAATCCCATCCGTAAATGATGCTGGCGCATAAGTTATGTTTCAAAAGGTGATTTCACTTCCTGTTTGCTCGGTGCTCTCCCTTTGTTGTCCACTTCATTTTGTTGCTATGGAAGTGGCAGTGGTGGAAGTAATGAATAACATTCACCCCCGAAACTATAACAAAGTTGTTGTTTTATTTTTGCACTTTTAGTTAGTATTTTTTTTTTTACAAATCTGTGACTTTACTTGTACAGAATTATTTTTTATCTCAAGTATTGTACTTCACTACATTTCAAATGGCATCCATTACAAAGTAAGAAAAGAATTAGCTGTCGTTTCTATACCAAAGGGCAGCGCACCAGAGCACCAGAGCATCCTCCAGCATCGACTTCTACATTCACTTAGGAACCGGTACCTTCAGTGAAGTGTCTGAGGCCCTTCTGCTGTTTTGACAATAATTCCTGTCAAAGTTGTGACTGCCGAGTGCTAATTCAGCCTCAAAGTGTTTGAAAATCTTGAAGAGCTCAGTGGGACGGAGAGGCTGTGTGGACTGGTTATATTATTGTTTTGAGAATGAATGAGCAGAGAAATTGATTGATTTTGGCGGCCCCTGTGGACAACAGTAGTAGTGTTTTTGAGCACCAGAGTCCCTTTAAAAAAAAAAAAAAAACTCAAATATTACTGCAGTCAATCGAAGCTCTACTCCTGGCCGAATTTTATTGATTGTTATCCTAATTTATGGTTAATTCTACTGAGGCTACAATGAGGAAGGTGGTTGTATATTTATAATTAATAATCAGTTGTATTCACAGGCTGCAAATGTCCGTCTACAGAATAGTATGTAGTATGTTTTGCTGATTTCGACATTATAGCTCTGTGGTGCTGTTCAAACTTGATGTAGTCCCACTAGTCTGTATACTTTGACATGTTAATGTATTTTATATTATAGCCTTAAACTATTCTATAATTTATTGTTCTATCATATAACATCATCATATACCCTTCCTTAAAAAAATGGTAACATTTCAACAGACCTACTTTTTACTGTCATCTGAGTACATTTTTACACGAGCAATTTTACTTTACGTCAGTAAAATGTATTTAAATTAACAGCGCTTTTACTTTGTGTAATGTATTCCAGTACTTTCCATCAGTGGCCCAACGGGCAGATCTGCTGTAAGTAATTTGGGGTAGAAAACATTCGGCCTGCATTCTTCAGCAAAACAGAACTATTTGGGTAAGCACTCAGACTGAAAGGGATGATGTGTGCAGTCTGGCAAATGAGCATTTGCTTGATGCTGCATCTGCTCTGGAAATAGTGGAGAAGTGAGAATAATAGGTGTAACAAAGTAATGATGATTATATTATAGCAGTAATAGAGAAGTAAATACAAATAGAGACATCTTCTCTCGTTTTAACTCTCTAATTTATACAATTGAGTGGTCTCGTTTCAATTCCAAAGCCATTTAAGCACCTGTCTGACGAGTTCAGCACAGCAAACCCTCCAGTCAGCCACTCCTCACTGATTCTACCAGACCTACAAAGAGGGTAATCACAAGGTGGAAAAACGAAGGTGGACCACTCTCACTTTCATCTCCATCCTCCTCAGCTCCCTCATTGCTCACCATCAATCTCTCTCCCCTCAAGCCTCCACTCCATGCAGCTATTTTCTAAGTCCATCTCTCACCTTTTCTGTCCTCCTTCTCCTCCTATTACCTAAAGAGGCTCATGTACAATCACGTAGCTTCCGCTGGGGAGCACCGAGTCAATATAAATGTCAGATTTTCATATGTAATTAAAGGCACCACCTGTGAAATCCACCTCAGCGGGCTGATGTTATCAGCACAATAGGTGCTTTTTTTGATGCAACTATGGCTTAAGTTAACACAAAACTATATTTAAGTTATTCATTCCATTTTTAATAGCAGTGTACTAAACTGGGAGATTTCAGTTTATGTGAGACTTTTAAAAGGATAGACCTTCCTAATACTGAGTTATTTCCACCTGCAAGTGTTTTTAGTCAATTTGTTTCTCCAAGTATAAAAAGGTTAATTTAGTGTGTAAAATGACTGTGAGATCAGAAGAAAGAAAAGAACAAGTGGCCAGTGAAATTTCTCATTTGTGCACCACTCATCATGTATTATCTCCTACTTCTTATGACAGGTTATTAAAGAGAATAAAAGCTCCTCCTGTAATGAGATCTTGACAGCTTGACATTTGTTTGAAACAGTTTTAAATATCAATTAATGAGATGTCGACATGTGAGCGAACAGATTCGGCTTGAAAGTGGCCTAGATTTAAGAAGGGGGGGAGGAATGGGAGACATATTGGAACACGTAGTTTAAGTCTTTTACGTTGTTATGATAAGTTTTAGGGATAATACTCACCAATTTACTTGTCTTTTGTACAAAACCACTAATGCTGGAGTTGAGTCTAAAGCAAGACATTGGGTTAACATTCAACACATCAGTTGCATTTCCAAAACCATTCTCTAACCACTCATCTAATTTACATGGAAGTAGAATAAGCAAAGCTACAAAGAAGGGAACACAAGACACTGAAGCAACAGTGAAGACAAGCAGAATCTGACTGGATTCATGGTGCATGACGTTGTTTAGCCCTCACAAGGGAGTGATGTGCTGCATGTTGTCACATCGGTGCCATTTTCCAGTCTAGTAATGGTATTGTGGATGAAACAGACAGAGGGAACATGAAGTATTCCTCTGTTGTAGCTGCTGTTGCGCAAAGCTCATTTCCTCACCGTCCCCTCGCGCGGCTGGCTTTTTGCGCGCTGGAGCAACTTGCTGCGAGGCTGGAGGCATTTTACGCACGAACGGCAAGCTGAGCTGGCAGCCTTGTCAACACAGCATTCACATGGTCTCACACAGACGCGCACGGGCACACACACACACACACACACACACACACACACGCACACACCCTCTTTTATGTAGCTACAGTATGGTTAATACTGCAACAGGTTGCCATAGAGTCCTTTCTCGCGTACAGTCATGTTAAAGAAGGATCTGTTTAAAAAGTGCAAAAGGCCTATCACAGTGTTTTGTAAGTACTTTGCTGTCTTACCTGACGATGATATACATGACTAGCACGTTTCCAACCAGCCCCACCACGCACACTATGGAGTAGAGCGCGGTGATAACGATCGCTATGATAACCGGGTTGGTGTCGTCGTCCGGGATGCCGGTCAGTCCGCGATCCCCGTGGCATCGCGCCTCCGCGAAGCTCGTGTTGTTGATGTTGCTGTCGGTGAAGTTCCCACAGAAACTGCTGTTGCTGGAGAGCACGGGGAGCTGGTTCCGGTTATCCGACAAGTTGCTTGCGCTCTCCATGGTCCTCGTTCGGTTTGTGTGCGGTGGGTGCTGCTCGAGTCTGCTCAGGTTGCCTGTCGGCGGACTCGGTGCCTGGGTGCTTGTCTGTGAAGCGCTGCGTTTCGTAACGTTAAATCTCACTGTGTTGAAGAATGTAGCCGCGTGCGATGAGGTTGAGCACGAGCCTGCGCGAGTCTCCGTTTACTAAACAACCCTCGCGCCGCACAGCGAGCCTGCACAACAGAAGCGACGACGTGAAAATGAGAGTTCGCTCCCTTCATTCCTTTCTCGGTTCCTTCCTCTCTTCTTTTCTTTTTTTCTCCTTCTCGTTTCCTATACCTCCTTACCTTCCTTTTGCTCACATTTGTTTAAGCCTTCATTTGATATTTTGTTTATCTCATCCTTCCTTTTCTCATCTTTCTTTTTCAAATCTCCCTTGTTCCTTTCCTTCTTTCCTTGTTCCTCCTGTCCTGTTTTTTTTGAAAGGACAGTTTTTCAAAGTGCTTTACATTAATAGTACGTCACACACACACACATACACACACACACACACACACACACACACACACACACACAGAGAGATACGCCATCTGAACCTAAATTAAATTATAATAAAATGTACATTTGAACATCAGATACATTGTACCATCACATTCTCCATTGATTGACAATGTCCTGTACATACATTTTATATTCAGTGAAACAACCAACAGCACCGCATTAGTACAAGAGAATGTAAAACCTGTTGAATAATAAAACATGCCAGCAGCATGTATCCTGAATAAGGACAGTAATGGACGGTGAGTAGGAGGCCAGGGATTATCTGTCAAGTTATCCATGCATCTACGTGTAGCGCTTCGATGAGTCTCCTCACTCCTGATTTCTGTTTTCTGTGCTGTATTCTAATCAGTGCAGCCGAGCGAGGGAATGCAGCACAGTGTAATCCAATAGGGATTGATTTTAATCAAGATAATGTCCCTGCTTGTCTCATTACAGTTTCAGAGAGGCACGGAATGGGCAAAGATCATTTACTAAACGTGCTGGAGGCCTGTTTGGAGTTAAACTGTTCAACATGAGCATAAAGTCATTATTGCAAGTTTGTTTTTACAGTCCCTTTAATCAACAAAATCCACACAACAAAAAAAAGCTAATTGTATTAGTGAGTTAGCGGATAAAAGCCGAGGAGCAGCAGGGACGGAGCGTTCTTGATGCTGATCACTTTAAATGCACGGCGATGTTTTCAAATAACCAACAGCGTTTCATTTAGTTGGGATGTGAGATTGCTTTGCCACTGCTGCTCCACTGTTCGGTTTTCACATAAAGAAATGTCACCTTCAGTTCTGAGCTTGACATTTTACCAACTATTTACCTCTGTGGCTTTTTCATGCACTCTTTTGAGTAAGTTCAACATTCAAGTCTATCTTAATACTCTGACTGCTGAGGCCTCGTGTCAGCTTTAGATCATGTGTTAGTACTCTGGATTTCTCTTTGCTTAAGAAGGGGACGCTTAATAACAGGGTTCCAGTAGCTGTTTAGAACACATAAGGTCATGTCTTCAGTTGTGTTTCTGGGAATTTGAGGGTTTTATCAAACTGGAGGGAGGTTTACATCCTGTAACATCAATTTCTAGGCTAAAAGTTATTTTTAGACCCAACATTTCTCCACCAGAATTTAATTCTGAGCAGTGTGAAGAGGGCCTTGATGTGTTGGGAAATAAATGCGAACACTACGTCCTTAATAAAGAATTATGTTATCAATAAAGGAAAAACAACAGCTTTGGAAAACAGTCAAAGATGTATTTACCACATAGTCATATCTTCAATATGTGCAGTAAAATGTGGGGGAGGGATACTCTTGAGGATGTTAAAAGACTAATGTGCTATCTTTATTATTGATGAAATGTATTAAAAGTAAAAAAATATGTTGATATATAATATATATGATAAGAAGATAAAAATATCGGTATTAAAATATTGAAGTGCATCATTTATTATTTTGTTAGTTGCGTTGATTTTAGAAGAACTGGTTGCATTTAAGTAAAACTTACAGAAAATAGCCAAACAACTAACTATGAAAAATCCAAAATAATTTTAGCACCACTTCAGAGACACTATAAAGATGAATAATTACAGCAACCAATTACTCTTTTAATGTACATGTGGGAATGTGAGTATTGTTTTAAGACACATAAGATAATAACTTTTCTAAAATAAGTGGTATAAATTACAAAAATGATTTCCTCCTAGCCTTATCAAAAAGACTGTTATTTACACACTCATTCCCACAGTGATGCTCGACGAAGCGATTTAAAGAAAGAAGCTGATGATGGATGCTTTAGAAAAGTAAAATTCAAACTAATATCATCGTTATTCCTCTGGAGCACTGCCGTAACGTTTGTGTATCTCTGGTGAATTGGTTGGAGGTATAGGGGCTTCGTCCTGTCGCCATGTTGAGGATGAACATTACATTTGACAGAAGCAACATCTTCAGGGGGCTCCACATGTGAGTTGTGTGTGCTTGTTTGTGTGTGTGTCTTTGTTACAGAGTAGCTGTTGACCCTCATCCTGCAAACATATTTAACAGACAAGGACTACTGATTGAATAAACTACTGTAAGAGACAAGCACCAGAGCAATATGTTGTCTGATTTCTTCTCTAAATGTAATCTGAAGAGAAAAACGAAAATTGACAGATGAGAAAATCTGTGTCTGTTTCTTTCAAAATGACTGACAGTGCCCCTGATAGTGTGTGATATGTTGAATAAGGCCCCATGGAACATTTTACATATCTATTTTATTTAAGCTGTTATAAACTGCATAGGCTGCAATTAGGGGCGTTTTGACTGGGGTCTCCAAGGACCCCAATACATTGGTATTTAAAATCAAGGACTAATAAAAACAGAGTACAAAGATACTTTATGAAATCATCTGGAACAAATTATCCTCATACAATGGTTTGTATGATATCTTAAAATTACTCCTCATTTTTTGTGCATTTTCCAAGAAAAGTCTAGCAACACAGTTCAATTACCAAATGTTTCATACGTACAGTCTTTTCAAAATAGACTTCCTTCTTCACAGGAAAGAACTTAGTTAGGTTTAAACAACAAAAGGAAATTGTGAAAAACAGCATACATAGCTCTACCTCTGAAAATGAATGTGCTGTAATACGTACATTACGTATAACAGCACATTTAACCCAAACCACGATCTTTTCAAAACCTAAGTAGTTTTGTTGTTTTTGTTGTTGTTGTTTTTCCTACGAAAGTCCAACAACATGTCTCAATTTCCACTCTTTCCACAGTCTTTTCAAAATAACCTTCTATTTTCACAGGAAACAATTAAGTTAGGTTTAGTCAACAAAACCTTTTAGTTAGTTTTAAGAAAAGAAAGTAAAAAACTTCTGGCTGTTCTCATACAGCGTTTGTAGCTATACCTATGCAAATGAATGAGCTGTAATTGGTAGATATCCCACAAAATAAATGTGTACATAGGTCGGGTGGAAAGAACTGTTTTTGATTGACCCATCCACTCCCACCCGCCCTGTGTGAGTTGCTGTGGTCTTTATTTCTCCTGATTATGTAGATTACATTCAAATTGATTTCGTTGGCTATCTATGAATTACAGCACATTCATTTTCGTAAGTATAGCTCCATATGTATAGAACAGCCTGCAAAAAGTAAACCTCTGGGGTCTGTGGGGACCCTATTGGTAGGATGAGGGTTTAAGCCTGCAGTAACAGCATATGTTTCCTTCAGTCACCTACACAAGTTTAACACATTTCATCTTGGAGTGAAAATTCGCACCCAAGGCTTCAGATTCAACACTCCAAGAAGGTACAGACGACGACCATGATTCACGTAGTGTTTTTCCATAGGGAGCTTTATGTTATGATGTTCACCATCTCTCTCGTCTTTCATTTCCTGTGTGGTGGAAAATAACATAAACACTTCATGCTCAGTTTTGAAATCATCGACAGACACTCTATACACACACATGCACAAAACACACGTGAAAACATGTTACAATTATTGAGTAAACAAGTATGCAATTCATTTTTTTCTGGAGTCACGTTTGACAAAAAAAAGGGTTTTTAAACAATAGAAAGCATCATGTAGGTCAGCGAAAACTTCTCCTTAATATCTGTTACTCATTCAGTCTCTCTTTAAACACATTGGCGACTAATTTAGTATAATGTTCGAGGTCTGCTTGGATGGTTACGCATGAAATTTGTGGCAGAAATGACAAAGAAAGCCCCGGAAAATGACTGGCGATTGGAGCTGGAGATGATAAATACCTTTCACTAATGCAGAGTACTTTGTCCCAGGGAGTTATGCAGATCGTAAACTTTCCCCCTGAAGAAAAAAGACAGATGTTAGTGGCTGTTAGTGGGGTATTTTGTCCAGTGGGAAAGGGGCTAAAGAGTTAAGACTTTTAGTCTGAACTAAAGGGGTCTTCACAGGTCTAGAATTTTGGATCAAACCTGAATCGGACCTATGGGAAACCTACCAGAACCTGAGTATAAACTTTGTCAGACCTGATCAAAAAAGCAACCTGAAACCGACCTGAGGACAAATAGATCCAATCCACCACCATCTCCAAGTGTACTGCTAAGATAAAGAGTTTAGTGAATATGTGCATTTCGTGCACACTAAAGTTTTTAATTCAGGTATTTGGAAACACTTACCCGGTTTGACCTCACGTTTACTGTGTCTTGAGAATACGTGTGGAGAAACCCTTACTCTGTTCTTGAGAAATCCAATTATCAGTTATTCATATAGAATATCACATAGCAGTGACATTGTTATGTATGTTCTTGCATTGTAAAGTATAAATTGTGTTTGAAAATCAAGCAACAAATGACCAAAACTGGCAACAGTATTGGAAAATATTCAGTGAGGCACAGCCGTCGTCCTGTGACTGTTTTCCGTTACCGAACACGGGAACAGACTCATGCATCACCGGTTTACCAGACGTCTTCTCCCAACAGCGTCGCAGGGTTTCGTCAGAGATCTTCAGACAATATTCAGATTCACATCTATTCATGAAAGACAAATATTTATTCCATCTAGCTGGTTACAAACATTTGTCACATTGGATTTGATGAAATATGTTTCATCTGGGGAAGTTTATACAAGCAACCGTCCTAAGTCATGAAGCATTGAAATGTTATCTCAAGGGACTCGCACTTTGCTTTGAGTACAAAGACTCAAATGAAACGTGTTTGTTCTCAGCAAGTACAAAGCACTGCGATTGACGACTTTCCTTTTATGTCAGGAACAGGATTGACAATGGAGGACACAAGCAATGAGAAGACAAAGAAAAAAAAAC